ACCAGCGCCTCCTCTCTTCTTCAGCCAGAATAGGTGATGAAAGAGATTGAAGTGGGGTAGGATTCCGAGGTATGCCTCACAGAAATGGATGAAGATTGAGATGTGCAAAATGGTATTGGGGTGGAGGTTGCACAGACTAACCACCCAGAGCTCCAACAGATCTCTCAGAAATGGATGAACAGGAAATCCTAACCCACGCCAGAAATAATCCTCGAATACCCCTGCTTCGTCAGTATGAGGTGTTGGGAAGGACTCACCGAGAGCCGGCCGCCATCCAGCGGTAGCACGGTCAGGGAGAACATCGGCTTCCACCAATCTGTTTAGCTCCGCCTCTCCTGTTTGCGACGGCACCCACTCCTCGTCACGCCGGGCCACGGCGCCCGCCTTCTTGGGACTAGTCTTCTTCGATTTCACAGCTCCTTTCTTCGGCGCCATCTCCCAGATCTGGTTAGCGCTTGGCAGCGGAGGCAAATGTGGTTGCGGATTCAGAGAGGCGAGAGATGAGGAAGATGAAGTGGAAAAGGTGGGAATGGGGTATGCGGTGGCACTGTTATAAAGCACTTTCTCCACCTTTTCTGCATTCAAGGGTTTTTGGGGGAAACGTTCCTGTGATCTGCGCCGCTCTAATTTCTCCGATGCGGCATATGGGCCGTTACCTGGGCTTCTGTGCAGCCGCAGCCCACGTCGCCCATTTATCGCTGCCATCAGTTGCTATTCGCCGAATAATCGCCGACTTCTCCGCCATTTATTGAGGCTCAACAATAACTGTACAACCGTTACTCCGATTTTTTCTCCACGGTTGGATTTCTCTGATATCTTCGCTTGCAGCCCGGGGACTGGCTGCTTGCTCGGGTGGTCTTTAATTGTTTCTCTATTTCTGACCCTGGCACCACGTGACAACGTCACCGACTGTCAGGCTCAGGGACTAAGTGGGCACACTTCACCTTGTGGTGAATGTGCTTTATCTCATTTTGGGGCCACGCCCGAGGACTGGTTGCCTGCTCGGCTAGTTTTCTATTATTCTTCTACTTCGGACCCTGGCACCACATGACTACGTCATCTACTGTCAGGCTCGGGGACTAAGTGGGCACACTTCACCTTGCGGTGAATGTGCTTGTTTTTGCTAGAAGACTCCATGCCTCTTGAAGCTAAAGAAGGTTATCTCCTTTCCTCGTGGTTAGACTCTAAGTGGGCACACTTGGTCCACTGCGAAAAAAATTTCGATTCTGGACTTGAGCTCCTTACACCCTTATGGCAAGCTGAACTTGGAAAATGCTGCTCAGCCATGGTTCACACCGCTCGGCGACAGAACACGCTGCTCGACAACTGCTCATAACTGCTCGGTGACTCATCACGGTGGTCGGACTATGAGTTTGACTGCTCGGTTTTGATTCGCACTTGCTCGGACAAGCTCAAGACGGTGTTGCACAACGGGTACAAAGGCACTCGGGGACTAGCTATGGGGGGTATGACCCCGGATACCCACGGCAGACCACATGGACTGCGTCCCCAGGGGTAGCCCAGCCCACAAGACGAAGCCTTGTGGGGCACGACTCTGCTCGGTGCCTCCCGCAAGACATGGGAGAGATATCCTGAGGATACTACAAGATCTGTTAGGATACGTATGATCCCATGATTCTTGTAATCTGTTATTACTTTCTGGTTATCTCTCAGATCTAACCGACTTGTAACCCTGCCCCCAGACTATATAAGGCGGGTAGGGACCCCCTCTAAAATCATGGCATATCATACGATAGCTAATACAAACCAACAGACCATATGAGTAGGGTATTACGTCATACTAACGTCCTGAACCTGTATAACTCGTGTGTCTCTGTTGCCTTCTTGTTCTTGATCACGCGCTCCTTTGCCGATCAATCTACCTTCGTGGGATACCCCTCGGAGGACAGCCGACGATATTCTGTCGACAATGACGTAGCCATCGGGTGGCACCAGCGCATCCTCGCGGCCGAGCACAAGTCACTCTGTTGCATCGGTCCTCCCATGGAGAAGACCACGCTTGACGAGGCCCTCCATGTGCGCATGAATAACATTGGAGCGGTACCATGAATCCATGGAGGATGGAGGTGGCTACGGAGAAGCAAAGGCGGTGGCGGAGGAGCGGAAGCTATGGATCTAGGGATCCGGCAGTAGATTAGCGAGAACGGCAGATCTGAACGGCGGTGGCGGAGAAACAGAGAAGGTAAGGCTGTAGTTTTGGTGTGCAGGAACGCAAAGGGGAAGGCTGCTATTTATAGGGCAGAGCATGATGAGAAGGTGAACCGTTCGCCTACATTCATGCGCCCGCTGCGCCGTGTCACGTCACCTCCCTCCGAAGATCGCACGCACGCTATCTCTATCCGCGCCCTCGAAGGATACGTCGGATGACGGTTCGCCCGTTCATTGGGTCGAGAACCGTCGCAGGTAAGAAGGGATACAGAGCTAAAAACGCTCCTAAGGCCCATTTAGGACCAGGAGTTCGAAGGCTAGCCCACCGACGGGTTCATAGCCTCTCCGAGGCACCCTTAGAGCGAGGGGTGGAAAGGGATGGGCCCACTAGCGGCCAGTACTCGGGCGCACGAGCGCCGCGGGCATCCCGGTCTACGTTCGAGTCTTGGTTGGTTCCCAGTCCATGGTTTCTCCTCAAAGAAAGGCAACGAGCCTTTGGGACCGGCCAAATGGACCCAAGAACTATATGGACTGACCGCCAAGAGTCTGGAGTCGGTCACAAGCTGACCCATGCCGGACCCCCGCGAACGGGAAGTTGGGGGCCCACTCGGACTAGCCCATTAAACAACTCACCGACCCTCGACCGAACCCCTGCTACGCACGGGGGCTCGAGGAAAGTTGGACTCGTAAGGACACCGAACGCGCGGTCGCAGTACGACGATGGACCGATCGGATCCTAGGGACCGGAATCAAGAAAAATCTTTCCGACCTCCCAAATCCTACGGTTACATGCCCCAAGAAGACCGATCGTGACAAAATGGAACCGCCACCCTATCAGGACACGCCGCGGGCTAAAAAAGAAGGCCAAGGCCCTTAGAGTCCTCCTGTCCGAAAAAGCCTCCAAAGGAGTATTCTACTCCTCCGTAGGCTCAGGGGTCACTGTCGGGTATCGATATTAGAGATACCTAAAGCAAGGAAGTTTGCGTTCACGCCGACTTCCCCAGATGGGGCAAGACGTATTAAAAAGTCTCGCCCGACCCTAAGGCTGTGGGCTCCGCCTCGCCTGACCCCAAGATCGCGGGCTCCGTCTTGCCCGACCTCGAGGCCATGGGCTCCTTCTCGCTCGACCCCTTGGGTGCGAGCTCCGTCTCGCCCGACCCCTCGGGTGCGAGCTCCGTCTCGCCCGACCCCAAGGACGCGGGTTTCGTCTTGTCCGACGAGGACCTATACTGTTGTCAACCACTCCAGGTCCAAGCGTATGGGCCTAGGTCAGAACTCTGACACTAGGAAAGAGACTGGCATGCCTCGATGTAACTCATGACCATGACAGGCCATACCAGAGGATTCACATCAAGAACAGCGTCGAGCGTGCCGGTGCTTTTCTGCCTAACCCTCGTACGAACGCTAACAGGCACGTCAATTCACCACGACGTCTGCTGGGACGAAATGAAACGTCATGAGCGGCAGATGACGCCTACGCATGGCGCTAGTGATGAACAGGCCACGACGTGGAGCCGTCCCTATTGACATCTACATGATCGGTGGGACCCGCGTGAAGTAGAAAAAGGACCCGACGATCCTGAAAGCCTTCTTCTCTCTCTTGTTATTCTCCTTTTCCTCCGTTGTAACCCGCGCTTTCCCTTCGCCTATAAAAGGGGAAGCAATGCGCCCCTTGAAAGGGGATCTAGATCCGCACGAGATCGAACTACAAGATAAAAACACAAGAGCACGACACGAGCACACGGCTGAGCAGTTTTCGAGCTCTCAGCACCCGTTCACTTCTTTCACCAAAGACTTAGGATCATTTCCCTCTCTCGCCTGTTTGTAACCCTTACTGCAAACCAAGTGCCGGTAACACGAGCACAGCAAACTGGACGTAGGGACGTTCCTCCCGAACCAGTATAAACCCTTGTGTCCTCCGAGTACACTATCCGAGCCAGACGCGTAAATACAAATTTACTCGTCGGTGGTCAAAAACACCGATAATTACGTTGTTTCCAAGATTGCCATATCATTTGAAATGAAATGAAACTTAATGGAACGCCCACTCTCAATGGAGAGTTTCATTCCATAATTTCTTAGACATTTAATTATAAGATTTATAAAAAGTTGATATAAAACATATTTTTTCTCTCTCTTCGTAAATACAACGTCGTATCATCAAAAATGCCTATGTAAACTCCTGACGAGACTGGCGTTAATCGTTCTGTTCAGCACGTTCCCACGTCACGTCCTCGACTTCATCTAGGACTACTCCAGTCGTAACTCTGGGTCCCTGCCTTCCTGGGACCACTCGTCAGACACAGGTGTGCGTTGCACAAACGGTGCGGGTACGAATCTAGCAGCTGATTCAGTATCAGTCACTCACTCAGAGAGTCAGAGGCAGTCCCACTGGTGAGCGCACCACCACATCCTCATGTGAGCACGCAGCGCCTGATCCCCGTCGTGCCCCTGCCCGTGCTCGTGCTCGTGCTCCGCCCACGGGCCAGTGACGCGCCAACAGTCGCTGACGCCCGTGGTACAGCACTAGAGGACCCACATGTCATGCGCTGGACGAGCTGTGCGCGTTCTTTCGTTCTTTTTGCTCCAAAAAAAGTAACACCGATGCACTTGTGTACAACCAGACCTCATCATTTACCTTTTATTATGCTGACGAGTAGGACCAGGAATTACGTGGTCCCGCAAGTCAGAGCTGGTTTCCTTAAACCGCACGCTAATACCAAACCCACCACGGAGAAACGAGGACAAAAAGGTCAAAAGGCGCAGGGCCAAAGCCCGAGACGAGTCGCCCCACCAGTCCCCACCCCCGCAACCACCGAGCCGATGCCACTATGCTTCCGGGGGGACGCGAGGACGGGAAGCGACGCGGCGCCACCGCCACCGCCACCGCCGACGAGGACGCCACCACCGACGCCGACGCCGCCACCTCGGCGTCAGCGGCATCCCTGAACGACCTCTGCGCCACCGCCGCCGCCGCCGCCGCGGCGGGGGCGCCCGCGCCGTTCCCGAGGGCGGCTGCGTGGGCGGTCGCCGCGCTGCTCGCGGTGGGCCTTGGGGTCGGCGCCCTCGTCCTCGCCGTCGTGCACAGCGCCGCGCTGCTCGTGGTGGCGGTCCTCCTCTCGGCGGCCGTGGCGGCGTTCCTTCTGTGGAATGCCGCCGCCGCCGCGTCGGGCCGCGCGCTGCGCCGGTTCGTGGACGGGCTCCAGGCCTCCAGCCTCCGCGTGGCGGCCGATGGCCAGCTCGTCAAGATCACCGGAGTATGTTTTCCGTTCCCACGCGCATTACGTTTCCTTCATCACGAATTTTGCTCAATTGGTCTAAGAAATTGTGGTCACCGCTGTGAGCTGCATCATTTATGCTTTGCAATTGAGCTGGTGTTCGCAATTGCATTACGTTTCTCTGCACTTAATTCACTCGCACTATATGTCTGTGAACAGCAGCTTAAAAACATAGGTGCAATGACCTTGCAAAGGGGATATATATAGAGAGAGAGCCCACCCTTATCCGAATTTTATGTCGAATATTTTTCGCAGTACTTTATCTATTAATAGCTGTTACTTTGGATTCATTGTTCAGTTTCAGCTTGCCATTTCACATTTTCGGTACCACTGGTGCTTTATGTTTTCTGTCATGTGAGGGCCACAATCACCAAATTACGCATGAGTTAGTTTCAGTATTCCTAGTATCCTAATCTCAATTTTCCGTTCATTCTTTCATGCAGTCTGTTTCATGTGGCGATATTTCACTGATCTCGTCATATGAGAAGGTTGAGAATTGTGTATACACATCTACTCTTTTGAGAAAATGTGCTAGATGGGGTTCTATGACACTAAATCCTTGGAATCAATGTACCAAGTGGAAATTAGCACATGCTGAGGTAATAATGCTTTGTTGTCATATGCTCTCAATTTCAATGTCTTCTTACATGTTTTGATATGAATCATATGAGTAGATCCTTTCCTTTATCAACTGCCTTAGGCCGTGATGTGTTAACTCCTTTGTTTGTCATGCCCTACAGCAGTCTAATGCAATCCAATTTCATCTGAAACATTCCTTTTTTTTTCAAAATGGTAATGCTAGTGCTTGCAATAGAAATATAGAATAGCCGAAGTCTCTTTCTGTCGCTTTAGTTTCAGTTCCAGTATACTGTATTCCAACACCTATATTCTTCTGTTTATTGCAAGATACTGAGGAAAGGTCCACAGGGAGTTTATACAACAAACTTCGCGTTGTTCTTCCCCTGACAGTAGTTTTATGGTAGAGTTTCTCAGTTGTATTAGTTGAAAAAGTCTTGTTGCATAGCTGAATAATACTACAAGAACTTGCAATTTGATATTTCGTTTTGACTAATATTGTTCACTAATACAACTTTCCAAGTTCCAAAAAGTCTAAAGTTTATAAAATCTATAATCTCTGTCATTATTGTAGACAATAACACCTTAATAAGAATTTAAGTTGTCAAATATGATATATTTCTTATTCAAACATTCTGTGGGGTTGGGCAGAGGTTTGCTGCTGATTTCTACATAACGGATGCAAAATCAGGTAAAAGAGCCTTGGTGAAAGCTGGGCACCACACAAAGGTTGTGCCTCTGATCGATGAAAATCTTCTGGTGACAACAAGCAGGGACACTGAGTTATCTTCTACTCTAAAGTATTGGCTCGAAGAAAGAAACCTTTCTTCTGAAGAAGCTCAGCTTATCCGTCTCGAGGAAGGGTAATCAAATGATCCAGAATATCTATTCCCTTTTTTCTATGGACTATATGTATGCTGAACCCTTGTAAACTGAATAGTACGATCTCACATGATTACAGGTATATCAGAGAAGGAATGCGGTTGAGCGTGATTGGAATGTTGAGCAAGAAGAACGGGGATGCCATGATACTTCCTCCTCCGGAACCTCTATCGACGGGCTTTGTGTTGCTGTCGTGCCTCCTCCCATCATATTTTGACGGAATAGTGATGAGATTGATTGAAGGGCGGGCCTCGTGCAAGCGGTAGAGTCTTACCGCCTGTGACCGGAAGGTCCCGGGTTCGAGTCGCGGTCTCCTCGCATTGCACAGGCGAGGGTAAGGCTTGCCACTAACACCCTTCCCTAGAGCCCGCACAGAGCGGGAGCTCTCTGCACCGGGTACGCCCTTAGTGCTGAGATTGGTCGACAGAAGTTACTTCATGCCAAACTCTGGCGTCTCATGAAGAGCTGTGAGAACTCGGTGAGATGTAACAGCTAACAACTCTTGTGCGGTGCCCTTGCCCCATGGGATCTTTCTTCCTGTATGGGTCCACATTTTTTTTGCTTTTTTGGGACTCGATCATGTGGTTCTTTTCAGGTAATCCTAATGTACATTCTCACTTGGTTGATAGTTGTAGTGCTAGTCATTTCTGGGGGATGGATTGTGTGTGTTTCAGGTTCCTTTGTTTTTCCATTTATATAAGATAGGATTCGTTGGTCGTTCCTATACCATTTTGCTCTGTCTACTTCGTTGGGGTTTGAGGACGGAGTTTAGCACTCTTTCCTGACTGCCTCTTTTTTTTTTTTAGCAAAACCTGACTGCCTCTATCTGAAATACTGTATGGCAGACTGGTAGTGGACTAGTGGTACTATGGTTTTCGGTCTGGACCGCTCCAGACGTCCCGTCAAGCCGGGGACGGCTGGAGGCCCATTTCGGGCCTGTTTGGATGATGCAGTTTTTGAAAACTGTAGTCATAAAACTGTGGTTTTATAAATTAAAGAGGCACAACTGTGGTATAGAAAAAAAAAAGGTCATGAGTAGAGTTTCTAAAACTCTAAAAAGACTATAGTTTTGACAAAACAACGGTTTTAGAGACTATAAGATTTAGGGGGTGTTCGGCTGAAGGAATTTAGATGGTTTGGAGGAATGCTGGATGAATTTGTGAGAGAAAAATACGGTTCCGGATGAAAAAAGAAGCGGATCAAGCGAGGTTTAAGGGCACGTGAACGGGCCTTATTGCATTCAAACACCTAGTAACTTTTAAAAACCATAGTATTTTATAAAACCATAGTATTTCTTCAATCCTGGCCTTGGTTTGCAATTCCATTTGCATCAAACAGGGCCTTCGTTTGCAACCTGGTTTCGATCCCTTTTTCTGGCCAATTGGCAAATGGAAATACAGTCAGACTCAAGCGTCGAGCATCAAGGCTGGCGGCTACGTCAGACGTGACGCATTCCACTCCATGCACGACAGCACGTGCTGCTGCTGCTGTGCTGGAAGCCCACGGAGCACATCTAAAAAAAATACTCAAAAGCATTGACAAATTGCATCCATAGGAACTCGTGACTCGTGGTCACCGACATCCGCAGTGCCCGGCTGCCCCCATCCGTTGTCGTGGTCGTGGATGGCGAGAGCACCTGGCGCCGTCGATGTGATCCTCCACGGCGGCGTATCCCAACTGATCGAACCGTGGATCGTTGCCTTTTTACTCGAAGACCTGCCAACTGGGCTCCGATCATCACCGGACAATGGCCCCTGGCTACCATTGGTCGTACAGAAGACCTACGAAAAAAGTCCAAATTACCTCCCTTCAACTTTCACGAAAGTCCATTTTTTTTCCTAAACTCTAAAACCGGGCAAAACACCTCCCTTAACTTTTAAAACTGTTCATCTTACCTTCCTAATCCGGTTATAAGCGGTTTTTAAGGCAGTTTTGTCTTTTTTATTTATTTATTTTGGCTGAATCTTTGAAAAAATATAGCAAATCATAGAAGAATCATAAAATGGATAAATCTAATTTTGTTGAACTTCACATGTGTAGATCTACACAGTGAACATATAATATGTCATGCTTTAGTATATAGTTTTTGTTGTAGCTTTAGATCTATGCTTTTCTATAATTAAATGGAATAATTTATAGCTATAGTTTCTATAGTCCAATTATGGTAAATTTTTTATGGTGGGTTAATTATTGTATGCGTAAATTGTAGTAAAAATTTCATACCCATTGGATCATGCATAACTTAGTTATAGATTTTATTTAGGTTTATGCTTGTTAAATATAAAGAATACTATATGCTATTTAGTATTTGTGATTGATTGATTGCACTATTATCTAATGGGGGTGTTCGGTTAGTATGGTTGTGGAGGAATTTGGATGGTTTGGAGGAATTCTGGAGAAATTTGTGAAAGGAAAACATTCTTCCGGATGAAAAAAGAAGTAGATCAAGCCGGGTTTAAGGGCACGCAAACGGGAGCCAATGTTAATAGTGATGTAACTGGGGCCTACTGATTTATGGTGTAATGATTTTATCTTTTTGTCCTAAAATTCTAATAAGTGTTGTTTATATTGCTTAAACTTTCAGCTATAGGGCCTACTTGCTTGGCATCCAAAATTTGCCATGCCAAAGATTTGGCAAGCCAAAAGTTGGGTAAAAATATTACCATAGATTTGGCAAGCCAAACATGAGAGTTTGGCAAGTTTTGGTAGCAAACCAAATATTAGCCAAAATCATGACTTGGCAAATCATTGGCATGACAAATTTTGAAAGTGAACCAATCAGTGACCTGATCAGTGCATCTGGTGAGCTCGGGCTATAATTTCTAGCTCCATTAGATTGAACATGAACTGCAATTTTTTACCCAAAACTTAACCTAATAATCTGTTTCATTTGGTTCGTTTTAATTTGATAAAAGCGACCGATCGATTTGGTTTGTTGTGAGAGAGAAAACAACGTTAAGCGGATCGATAAGCCTCATTTAAAACCAAAGCGAATAGCAATTTGAATAACTCGAAAAAACATTAGAAAAAAAAACTGTCCGATACACTAAATTTTAGATAAGTAGATCTCAGAATCTTAACGGTTTCTTTAGGGCTTATAAGGCTCTCGATTTTCCAATGCAAAGAAAAAAAATGTCTGATCATACAAAAGCCATTCGAATAATCATCATCGCACAAGTCCTATGAAGCACTTATGATGAGGGGCATAGGCCCCAGCATACCAAACAGACAATATCGGAGCCTGATTTTTTATGTTGTTATTATATCGATCGCCGAGTGCGACCTCTATTATTATCCCAACCGTCTCTCCCTTGCCCCCAATGGAAAAAAAAAAAATTTGGTTGTGGTAGGTATCCTGTCAATCGCCCCCGTGATTCGTGCGGATGATGCATGTAGACACCGTGTTAGTTTAGATACAACAAATCGATTTGACGTGTTTATCTGCAAGTCCACCGTAAACCAAGCCGCGAACTACCCGGCCAGTGACGTATTTGACGTGTTGATTATTTTCTTGTGCCTACAGCACCGAGTAACATCATGGCTTCTGTTTTTACTGATCTGTCACCGTCAATCATTCCTGCTGCCGTCGCCAGCAGTGTCGTGTTCCTGCTGCAGTCCCTGCGCTGCGCTTACAGTTTCCGTGGGAAGCGGCTCGCCCGGAATGAGTGATTCTGGATTTCAGGTACAAATCCTCGAAAAGCTGGATTGGATATATCGCCATATCGGCCGCGGCAGACACCGTACCACTCGCTACCACCACAATCCCGGCGCGCACACCACACGAGCGCTCGACACGGGGTGGCCAGCGCCGGGCGACCCCCCTTTTGTCGCCATCACGCCTCAATAATTCACTGCCCACCCGCCATCGCCACCAGTCGTCCGCCCACCACTGGCGTACGCAGCCCGCCAATAATAACGCGCCCAAAGCAGAGGCCGAAACCCGCGAGGCCGCGACGCGCAGGGCCAGTGGCGACCACGACGCACGGGGAAGCGCCAAGGAGCTGAGCCTGAGCGGAGCTGAGCCCAGCACTGCCTGCCGCCGGCCATGTCCACGCCCCGCCGCCGCCTGGTCACCACCGCCTCCCCGTCCCTCCGCTTCCTCGGCCTGCTCAAGCAACCCGACGAGGCCCCCAGCGCCCACGGCGGTGTCCAGGAGCCGCTGGAGCTCGACGAGCGCGACGTCGTCTGGTCCTCCTCCTCCAGCGCGACCTCAGCGGCCTCCTCGCCGTCCCCGACCCCGTCCCCGTCCGCCTCGTCCGCCAGCAGCCTCCGGAGGCCGATCTCCACGTCGTCGCGCCACTTCCCCGCAGGCAGCATGGGCCTGTCCGCGCTCCTCGCCGACGACCACCCCCTGCACGCGCCCACCACCGCGCCCGTCCCGGCCGTCGCGCGCCCAGAGAGACAGCACGCCCCGCAGCCGTACCACCAGTCGGCCCCCGTCGCCGTGCCGGCCTGGCCCAAGCCGATGACGGCGGCGGACAGGCGCCGCCGGGAAGCGGAGCTGCAGGCCGCCGCGGACTACGAGGACGACGACGACGGCGAGCCCGTGGTGCCGCCGCACGAGATGGCCGCGCGGCGCGCCGCGGCGGCGGCGTCGGTGATGGAAGGCGCCGGGCGCACGCTCAAGGGGCGTGACCTCCGGCGCGTGCGCAACGCCGTGTGGCGCACCACCGGCTTCCTCGACCTGTGAAAAAGGACGTCCCTTTCCTTTGGAGGTTTCGTCTCGTTCTCTGGCCACGTCACTCCACTCCACTTGAGCTGCCTCGGACCTTGGCAGCTTCTTGTTGCGTAGCGTAGTGCTGTGCCAGCTGCCAGGCACTGAAAATGCCAAAAAGGTGGGCGTTTCCTTACTGGGTTTATGAGGTGTATTTTTTGTGGAAGTAGCTGCAGGTGCTTCAGTATTTTTCCTAGAAGAAAACTACTGTGATCAGTCTGCAACTAAGTATGTTCTAAGATCTCTGCAACTCTCTGATAAAGAGATTTTC